AATATACAAAATACCATGCAAGGACTGTGAGAAACATTATAGAGGCCAAACCGGGAGAAAACTGACAGTAAGGATACACTAACTAGCCACCAAGAGACATGACCAATTCTCACTGGTCTCACTACACACGGACAAAGAAAGTCACGAGTTTGACTGGGACAGCACCTCCATAATAGCACAAGCCAAACAGAGACATGCCAAGGAATTTCTGGAGGCCTGGCATTCCAACTGGAACTCCATCAACAAACACATTGAACTGGACCCGATATACAAACCACTGAAAAACAGAACCAGAAGCACTGCTAACCGCCCCAGCAAACCGAGGCATATAAATAACAAGTGGGACAGAACATCAGCGCTTCACTGGAGGCGCACTGACGATGTTACCTAGCAGGGTGACGAAATGTCTGCGATCAAACACACCGGCTCAGCGAGCAAGTCTACAACCTCATCCACAGCCCGAGCTACAAATCTTCTCAAAAACTTTAAACTGTTGTATTCTTGTTAAAAACCCAATTGGTTTCAGAAAGGAGATAGTAGGAACTGCAGATGCTGGAGAATCTGAGATAACAAGGTGCAGGGCTGGATGAACACAGCAGGCCAAACAGCATCATAGGAGCAGAAAGGCTGACGTTTTGGGCCTAGACCCTTCATCAGAAAAGGGGGAGGAGAAGGGGGTTCTGAAATAAATAGGGAGAGACGGGGAGGCGGACTGGCTCCATCCCCGCCTCTTCGACCTGTTTGTTCCTCTCCACCTATCCTCTCCTCTATCCATCTTCTATTCGCCTCCCACTCTCTCCCTATTTATTTCAGAACCCCCTTCCCCTCCCCCTTTTCTGATGAAGGGTCTAGGCCCGAAACGTCAGCCTTTCTGCTCCTATGATGCTGCTTGGCCTGCTGTGTTCATCCAGCCCTGCACCTTGTTGTCTTGGTTTCAGAAAGGAAATCTGTTGGCCTTAATGCCCAGGCCTGTATTTGACTCCAGTCATAGAGGTCTACAGCCCTTTGGCCCAACTTGTCCATGCTGCCTAGTCCCACAGCATTGTAGTGGATATTTAACAACCCTCTGAAATGGTGTAGCAAGACCCCCCACCCCCCAGTCGTATAAGTGGCTAGGTATGATAAGAGTAAAGCTGAAACAGCTCTTGTGGTGCAGTGGCTAGAGCCCAGGTTCATGTCGCCCTGTACCAGAGGGGGGGCGTGAATTGATTAAAAATATCTCAAACTGAATACATTGTGAATCTATGAACTAAGCATAATGAAGGCATCCCTCAGCCCAGTCAACCGTGAAGGCCTCCTTACACCATTACCACTTTGCGTATCCTGTTAGAGGAGCCTGTCAGCAACTTGGGTATAGCAGGTCAGATTGGTGAGAGGTGCTGATACAGAGCAGTGCAGGCTGGGAAGGAGTGCCCCCGAAAGTCTTTCACATTTACTCATCCACATGGAGACCACCTTCTGTCTTCACGTTAACAACACCTCTGTCGTGTTGTGTGGCTCTACTGCCATGCTAAACGATTTACATTCGGAACAGATCTGGCAGCCCATACCTGGGAATCCAGAAGGCATGGTGGGCTATAAGCAGCAGGTGAATTGTATTCATGTACAACCTGCTGGCCTTGGGTATTCCCAACCTTCTGTCACCATCAAAACAGAGAACAGCTCTGCTTCGTTAAGCCAGGCATACCTGAGGGTGAGGCTCCATCCTGTTGAAGTGACAGTGTAGGACTACTTGCATTCTAAACAGAAAAAGCTGCATGGTACACATGATCCCACAATCAGTGGGTCAGATCGAAGCTCCACAGTCCCATTTCCATCATGAACAGGTGGCTCCCAACCCCAGAGATGGTAGAGCCCAGGTTGTGAATGCAAAAGATAGGCTCAAAGTGTTTGAAAACCTCTTAGCTCCAAGTGCAGATCCACCCCTCACTTCCTCTCAATGCCAGTCTTCAGCCAGTTTTGATCTGCTCCATTGGATTGCCAAGAAATGGACTGGAGTGTAAAGGGATCAAGGGGTTACAGAGAGAAAGCAGGAGATCGGGTTTGGGAGACATCTGCCATGATTGAATGGCAGAGCAGATCTGATGGGGTCGCCCTGTTACAGGAAGGATATTATCAAATTGGAGAACGTTCAGAAAACATTTACCAGGATGTTGCCAGGAAAGGGGTTATAAGGAGAGGCTGGGACTTTTATCACTAGAGCGTGGGAGATTTAGGGGTGACCTTATAGTGGTTTATAAAATCATGAGGGGTATAGAGAAGGTGACTGGCAGGTGTCTTTTCCCTAGGTGTGGGGAGTTCAAAACTAGACAAACTTCAAAACTAAAAATTTTTTAATATGAGAGGAGCAAGATTTAAAAAGGACATAAGGGGCAGCACTTTTACACAGAGAGTGGTTCGTGTGTGGAATGAACTGGGAGAGGAAGCGGTGAATGCAGGTACATTTACAACATTTAAAAGACATTTCAATAAGTACATTAATAAGAAATGTTTGGAGCCTAATGTAGGCAGGTGGGACTAGTTTACTTTGAGAACATGGACAGTGTGGACTGGTCGGACCGAAGGGTCTGTTTACTTGCTGTGTGGTTTTATGGCCTAATTCTGCTCCTATGTCTTATGATATTATGGATAGTCAAAGGCTATGGGTCCTGCAACACCCTGGCAGTTACAATGAGGACTTGTGCTTCAGTACTATCTATGCCTTCCAATGAAAGCTGCTCCAGGACAGCTACAATACTGGCATCCACCGAACAATTGGGGAAATTGCCAGCTATGTCCTGTGCACTGAGGCCAAACAAATTCAACTTAAACAATTCACATCCTGCCAGCCTCATCTAGTCATTAGCAAAGTGATGAAAGGAGGCATTTACAGTGCTATCTTTCTTCATCACCTAGAGCCCATGGCCACCTTGCTGCATCTTTTAGGTTTTTAGAGGAGTTTCCTCACTGGGTAGGAGTGAGTTGCCAATTCATAGAATCACAGAATCCCTACAGTGTGGAAGCAGACCATTCAGCCCATCAAGTCCACACTGACCATCCTGAAGAGCATCCCACGCAGACCCCCCCCCAAAATCAGCATTTAGCATGACCAATCCACCTCGCCTGCACATCTTTAGACTGTGGGAAGAAACAGGAGCACCCGGAGGAAACCCACACAGACATGAGGAGAATGTGCAAACTCCACACAGACAGTCGCCTGAGGCTGGAATCGAACCTTAAAGGTCCCTGGCGCTGTGAGGCAGCAGTGCTAACCACTGAGCCACCGTGCTGCCCTTCAGGGACTGTACAGTATTGTAAATGCCTTGTTAATGGCCTGACTCAACTCTTTAATATTCTGTTTCCTTTCTTACCAAATGGCTGGACCAAGCTTGACATTGAGAATGGAAACCAGGGCAGGTGCCTGTTGAATGCAGCTCACTGCTTGTCCTGAAGGACCTCCAAGTTGGATACTGGGCACCAGTATCTCAGACCACCCTCCCCGGGCACCGGCCACAAACAACCCACATCCGTAGACACTGGCATCTGACATGTGGCAGCCTTTAAGAGCCATCAGTGCACATTTTTGATCCACTTACAGTTTGCCTTCAGCACTTTAATGCTCAGGCTGTACCACAAACTTCCATTGTAATGGCACAGCAAGGAGACTGTGTGCTCAGGGACACACACCCAGCTCAGGGAGTGCACAGGCTGTATCCCCATGCTATTCGCTTGCTCTCACTCACTCTGAGCCTTCCTAAATGCTTGCAGTATCCCTGACTTGCGTTGTCTCTGCAGCAGACCTGAATAGGATCGAGGCACTTGCCACTCAGTGTCAAGCAGACTCATGTAGGTACCATTTCCAATAAACACCCCCTTAACATCGTTACCAACCCCTTGAGGACCATTCATTTTCTTTTTAAAGAGAGGACCGATTTCCCCAGTGACACACAGAAATAATCGCAAAGAATATCACCGTCTTTTACTGTAACAAACAAACTAAAACCAACATTGACTAAACATTAGAGAGAGCAAGAACTGCAGATGCTGGAGCCAGAGATAACATAGTGGGGAGCTAGAGGAACACAGCAGGCCAGGCAGCACCAGAGGAGCAGGAAAGTTGACGTTTCAGGAAAAACAGACTAAACATTACTTAGTAAGCATCCAGTGTGCTAAAGTACAGAAAGGGTACTTTCCCCATTAAGTAATTAGCACTGCACGCATGAGGAAATTCAACGTGTGCTAGCACAGGAAGCCACTCAAACTGTGCTGGCCTCAGTGTCCCAGCGATAATCCTCCTACTTTCTCAGAGGTGGATACTTAACAAGTTTGCGTGGTAAATGCTAAGCTTGGTTGAGGAGCCAGCAGTACTTTGCTGATATTTAGACCAGGGTGAGTGAAAGCAGTGTGTTGACTCTACTCTCCAAGGTGCCACCTAACAGTTACTGAGGGAGATTTACTCTCATCTTGACCTTTGCCCCGGTCCCCTTAGAGGTGTTGCCACTTGGTTAACCAGCTCCAGTAGAGGTCTCACCAACATCCTGTAAAATCTCAATATGATGTCCCAACTCCTATACTCAAAGGTCTCTGCAATGAAGGCAAGCATGCTAAACACTTGTTTAACCACCCTGTGATGCAAACTTCAAAGAAATATGTACCTGAACCCCTGTCCGTTCTACAACACTACCCAAGGCCGTATTTTTAATTGTATAAATCCTGTCCTTGTTTGGTCAACTTGTGGCATTCTCTACCACAGAGGGCTGGGAGGCTCAGTGCATCCGGGAAAGAAATTTATAGATTTAAGGTAATAAAGGCATTAAGGGGGTCTGGGGAGAAAGTGGGAATTTCACAATGTGATAGAGCAGACATGGACATAATGGGTGGAGCAGATTGAAATCCCTCCTCCTCTGTTTCCATGAGAGTATCCTCGTCTACCTAATCCTGTATTAGTAAGGATAATACTGTGTTATGGTGTAAATAATGTTCCTGGTTTAGAATTCCATCCCTTTTTCATCCTTCTTCAGGCTGCGGAGTGTAACAAGCAGACACAATATGACATCTCACCCGTTTCGGAGAGTACTGGTGATAGTGTTTGTTCCTTAAACAGTGAGTGGGAGAAATTAGATTTCCTGAGCACCTCTGAGCCCACAGACATCTCAGATGAGCCCCGCACGCCCGAGACCACGACGTCGGAAGGCACGCAGCCGGAACTGAGAGATTCCACCGACGAGGATGTGCACCTGCCCCCAAGTGACGTGGAAACCCTGTCGACTGTAGAAAGGAGAGATCAGCTCGTTCAGCCCGTCTACCAGCACGTTCTGGCCCTTCAGACAGGTGCTCAGGCAGTGGAGCTCACCGGTGCTGCTCCTGCAGGCGATCAGCTCCCAGTGTTGGACGTGTCTGGGCCTAGCAGTGCTGTGGGTAGTGTGGACCCTGAAGAGAGCCTCCCAGTGCCACTTGTGGGAGGAATCTTTACCGATTTAGCGTTGCATTTAGTTCAGGATCGTGATGCTGAGGCCACCTCCTCTACAGACAGTAAACCATCTGAGGAAGCCATTGCCGAGGGCAACGATGAGTTTCTGAAGGTTGACCGTGTGGAGGAAGCAGCAGCTGAAGAGCACGTGCATCCCAATGTCCCCTCCGACAGTTTCGGTGTGCACTTGGTAGAAGTGTTCCTATCCTACTTAAAGATTCCCAGATTCCTATTGGGTGACAAGCCCCCTCCCGGCGATGTTGGCAAACCAGAGGCAACGCCAAATGCCCCAGAGATTGTGGATGCGAGCTCACAGACCGAAGGTCCCAGAGCCCTGGGTGTTACAGACCCGAATAAGGCACAGCCTTTGGAGCCATTGTTAGAGCAAGACATTGCCCATTCTCTGCCAATCGTTCCTGAAGTTTGCCAGGTTTCTGAAGGGCTCATGTCTGCTAGACCTCAGGCAGGGACAGATGATGGCTGTGCCACACTGTTGCCCAACACTGAGGAAGAATTCAGTCCAGAATCGACATCCCTCGGCGAACCTTCCACAGAGATGGGCGCTAATCCTGACCTCTTTGCCGTCATGCCACCAAGCACTCCCGAACCCAGCCTCCCCACTGCCCTCCCGGGCACACCATCATCTCTACCCCTGAGAAATTCCATGACAGAGCAGCCTCTGGGAGAGCCAGGCCTTATCTGTACGGGGTTGAATTTAACTGAGATGCCAAAAGATCTCAAAGTCCCAGGTACGTTTACTTTGCTGGATGTCAGTAGGCTTGATGATGCTGGGGAAGGGCAAGGTATGACTGGTTTATCATCCACTGAAGATGAACCTGCCAAAAACACAGCTCCATGTCCGGAGGGAATGACAGGAGAGAGGAGTGTGGTGGAGATCGACTCTGGACATGGAAATAATCTCTTAGAAGTGTTGTGCATTCCAGATAGTGAAGTGATACCTGTTCCAAAACCAATAGCAGTAAGTACTGATGTTGTAACGTCAAATGGTGACACACAGAGCACAAAAAGTGTCTCCAATACCCACGTGCCTGAAATTAGCCAAGTGCCATCCATCGTAGTGGGCACTAAGGTCTTTAAGGATGAGGCAGCAGCAAAGATTGAGGATGAAGAGACCCTCCAGAAGGACGAGACATCAGTGCCCCCTCTGCCAGCCTCAAGCCTCAGGATGACACTCAGTGATAGCACGTCCACTATCCCATCAGCCACTCCGGCAGAGCTGGCCGCTGGCGCTCGCCGCAAAATCTTCCTGCCCCGCTCCAAGATGCCGGACGAGGCTGAAGGAGGAGGCCCCACCGCTCTCCCCTCTCCATTGCAGCTGAAGAAGGAGGAGGGAGCGAAGCGAATCCAACAGGGAGGCACGGACTACCTGGACGAGGGGCCGAGTCCATTCCTGTCGGCGCCCAGGAGGAGTGGGGCCCTCCTGCAGGCCCCTGTTGCCACCCAGCAGGCAGCACCCTCGGAGCGACGCTCGCCAACAACACCACGCAAGATGGCCACCCTCGAAGTGCCCAGGTTTCACGGGGAAGCCGAGGATCAAAATGGGAGCTCCCTGACGTCCAAAATGATGATGACCAAAGACACCAAAGCTGGCTCGGTTAAAAGTGAGGTGAAAACTGAAGAGGGCAAACCGACAAAGAATATCTTTAAAGGTAAGAGGGTGAATGAAACCTTCAGATTAATACTGTGTTATGTAGCGAGGACCTGCTATCATAAAGGATGGGTTGAAGAGTTGAAGTGATCATGTTATGGGGTTTAGCTGGCTTTGTAATCCATAAAACCATAAGATGTAGGAACAGAAGTAGGCCATTCAGCCCACCTTCTCCATTCAATGAGATCATCCTCCACTGATAATCCTCCACTTCCTTTAACTATGACTCCGACTAGGAGTGGGCAAGTACTAAACTCACTCTTTACATCAACCCTAACCCTAATGCTAATCCTAATCCTAACAATAACCCTAATCCTAATGCTAACCCTAACCTTAACCCTAACACTAAACCTAATCCTAATCCTAACCCTAACCCTAAACCTAATGGTAAACCGAACGCTATCCCCAACCCTAATGCTAACCCTAAATCTAATACTAACCCTAACTCAAAAGCTAATCCTGACCCTGACAGTAACCCTAACCCTAACCCCAAGCATAACCATAACCTTAACTTAACAGTAGCCCTAACC